GGATTTTACGAAATACTCTGGAGATACTGATGTCTCCCAGTGGTTACAGGGATATGTCCACGTTATAAGAATCAAGAATGTACCTTTAAACTTCATGGCTAAGGCACTGCCCTCCTATGTGACCGGGCAAGCGCAACGGTGGTTTGGACAGTTACTAGAAAGAAGCATAATTAGCTTCAAAGACCTGTCTATCAAATTGGCCACTCGTTTTTTCCCCAATAAGCAAATCACTAGGATGTCCATTGATCTCTCCACAATCAAACAAGGTCAACATGAAAGCCTTTCAGACTTTCATAAGCGTTTCATCCGAGAGATCCTACAGATCAACATCATAGACGAACGAGACGTTTGGAATGGCTTCATCCAAAGACTTAACCCATTTGGAAAATCCTCGATGTTAAGGGTAAAGCTCTCGATAAAACCTCCCTACAGTTCTCAGGAGATGTGGGCCATAGTTGAGAATCATATTCAATGAGAGCATATACTCAAAAGGTCGCAGGAATCTTTTACAGCAATCAGAATGAGGGATAAGCTGAGGATTACAACAGAAAACAGGGCAACATTGCCTAAGCTTGATAGGCAGTTGACCCCGCAGACCAAAAGTGTCGCGAAATCCTCCAAATCCACAAAGATGAATTTCCAACCCCAAAACCCTTGACTCCTAATCCAAACAGGTCAACAGAACAGTATTCTGAATACCACAAAGACCACGGCCATGATACTGAAGATTGCCGAGAGCTCAAGAGGGAGATCAAGAATGTAGTTAAATCTGAGAAATTCTAACAGTACGTACAAGAATCATCTCGACAAAGGAACAGTAAGCCCGTCTCATCGTGAAACTTCCCTAGGCGGAATTTTTGGGGGGCCCCAGGGGAAAATCGAGGAAATAACTAGTTGCAAGGAACAATACACAGCAGCTTCCCCAACAAGCCATTGAAGGAGTACCACAACTACTTCAGCATGTCCCTCCAGCGGATTCTACTAAATAGATTACTCATAATGTGGGAAACATTTACGGAGCTTCTCTCGAGGTATTATCCACCACAGCCATGAAAAACTCTGTACGAACTGTCACCAAAACTCCTTCCTAGGAGCCTAACCACACGAGGTTTAAAGGGACCGAGGCCATAGTTTTCACTGATAGCGATATGGTCCCTGATATCTGTCCTCATAGTGATGCTATGGTTATTGAGGTGATCATCAGAAACGTTCAACTAAGTCGAGTTTACGTGGACAACGGCAGTGCAGTCAATATCATATACAGCGATTGACTTTCACGTTGACTTTCACGTTAACTTTCACATTGACTTTCACGTTGACTTTCAGATACTGGTTGACTTTCACATTGCGCGCCTGCATAGCATCAAAAAGGTCCGCTTCTAAGTTCACTATTGTCTTGATACTATAGACATCTGTGCGACTTCTTATAATATCGTTGATCATCAAGTATAGAGAATATTGCCTCGATTGTTCCTCTGACAAAATCATAAGATGGATTCGATGAATAGACCAACTATCCTGTTCCAAATAGGAATATAGAGGCCAATATCAAATTTGGGAAAAACAAAAGTGCAGCAATCACACAAGTACCAGGCGAAAACAAAAGTTAATTACAAAAATAATTGTTCAAGCTCCTAGCAACTGTTACAAGAGGAAGGATTCATACAGCATCTTGGCCAGAAGATTTGTTCTTGGGAAGACTCTGAGATGCCTCTCCAGCATCTTCTGTACCCCTGAGAGGGCAGTATCAGCCACATCTTCCATTGAGGCTTCTTCATCAGCATCCTCGAGCTCGATACCCATGTACTCATCTGGCACCTTAGGGATTGACTCTTCTTCGCTTGGGCCCTTGGACAATACTGTTGCAAGATCACCAGGGAACGCGATGATTTCCTCAGGAGTACCCATCTTGGCAAGGCTCCACATAAGGACTCCCATAGGGGTAGCTGCTCGATGCTAAGCTTAGTAAGGACATTTACCAGCGCCTCGTGCATGGTCTTCTTCGGGCTTTCCAGCAAAAACTGCTTGAACCACTTGGCCTTGATAGGCCTGTCCCCATCTAGCCTCTTGAGGCCTACGACAGCTACTTTATGGGCTCCATACTTGGTGGCAGCCATATTAACTTCCTCGATGGCTGTTTCCATCCTATCTGTTGATAGCATCCTGAACCAGAAAGTGGCACACTATTTGTGTAGGTTCTCCCTCAAGATGTTCAAGCTGGCGAAGCCTTTATGCTTCTCGTCAAGCTCATTGTACTTAGCCTGCACAGAGGCCAACTCTTGTTCCTTGGCTTGAACCTGCTGGGACTTCTCCTCGAGAGCAGCCTTCTCAAGCAAAGCTTGGTCTCTCTCAGCTCGAGCTTGCACCAGTTCCTCTCTCAATTTCCTTAGGTGCATCAAGTAGGCCATCGAGGCCGCACTCATCTACAAAAATTTACGGAATAACACGAATTGTGCTTATCATAAATGTACAAGAGAATTCACCAACTGCTATGAAATACTTACCAGCCTCACACTGTCGGTCTCATTCAGTTGGGCAGCAAATTCTTCTAGCAGGGGGCACTCGATAGTTGGAGGATCGCCAAACGTGTGGACTGCTGCACTCCAACCTCCTTCAAACATATAAGGAGGCAAAATGATTGCCTCTTCCTCGAGAGGGTTCTTGCCCTTGTCTGCGATGAAAGGTTTGTGGCTTGGTCCAGGTCCCATCGACGGAACGCGGGTCTCCTCGATCGTTTGGGGAACAGTTTTCTTTCCCTACGCTGTTGACTCAGTTGCGGGCACGTCAGCTTTCACTTTCTTGCTTTTATTCTTGTTGGTGCCCTTTACAATCCTCTTATTTTTCTTCTTCTGTCCAGTGCCTACAGTGACCGAGACCTCTTCATCTGAATTCACAATAGAAAAAGGGGTCTTCATCACCATACAGTCGAGAACCAGAATTACTTGACGACATGACCTAAAGACAAAAAAAGTAATAAAAAGAGATTAGTACCTTTCTTCTCTTTGACAGGGCTCTCGAGAGTGATCTCAACTTCTTTCTCCTTGATAGGAACAGTGGGTGTGAAGTGCTGCACAGCGTCCCATTTAACTATTTTGGAGTACTTCTCAAATTTCTTTAAGTCCTTGTCGAACTCCTTGATCTTCTCTTTATCCTCATCCGTCCAATCATCCTTTATTGCCTCAAATCCATTGGTTTCTCGATGATTTCAAGCAACAAAGTACTTTTCAGGCGCCTTTACATACAGAAAGTTTGGTTTCCATATGGGGGAACCACCGTATGCCTCTACTATCTTCTAGGCGCCAGAATTTGGGTTTTTCTTCACTATATACCAATCTTGGAACGATGTCGAGGACATAGATACTTTAAAGAAATATCTCTACAAAAATAGACACGGTTTCACTTTCACTCGTTGACATATCTTCAAAAATCCAAGAACGTAAGTTATCAAATTCAGGGTCAATCATGCTAAGGGAAGTTTATAGTGTTCGACAACCTCCTCGAACAAAGGAAAAAGGGGGAACCTCAACCCTAAATACATAACACGGTTATATATGGTGATTTTTCCTTCTGGAGGAGTATTGGCTCTGTCGGTTCCTAGCGGAGCTCTTGCTTCTAGATCTAGGGGCAAGTCGTATTTAGTCTTCACGGATTTCACCTTGTCGTCAGAATCTACGGTGGAAGCAAAATCGTCGACAGATTTCTTATCTGGGTTCCTAGCCATACTTGTCTATTTGCAGCAATCACTCTAGATCTATTTCGATTTATATTAAAACTCAGTAAAACATAAAGCCAGAAATGAAACTAAGATTGTTAGATCTAAAAACTGACTATTGGAGCAGGTATCTGCTCTCCTTTTGAATCGTATCCTCCCAATGTCACAATTGTCTCCAGTGACGGCGACCTTCGATAATCGACTGAGTTGTAACACCAGCAAGAATGGGGCAATTGAATAGGTCGTTCCCGGAACCGTCAAGAAAGTCTTCTTTAATCACAGCTCTTCTCAGTTCGGCAGCGGTGAACACTTCCGGCAATCCAAAGACAGAGACGCTATAAAGGATTTTCTGATTGGAATTCTGGGGTTTGGGATATGAAAAAGGTTCTTTTTTCTGAGCAAAAATGAAGTGTGAAGTCGGAGGAATCCAAAGCCTTTATGCACTACAATTACAGCCCACGATCTGACAGTTCAGGCGAGTTTCAAGGAAACAATAAAGGTGATGCCGCATTAGGGGAACGTGCCCACTAATGCTGTGCAATTTAACAATTTGGGAGGGATCTTAAGGCGGATCATCTTCTTGGATCGGATCTTAAACCTCGAGCTATTCCATCAGGCCTGCTCGACGGAGCATGGGCCGAGATTTGTTCGTTTCTCTTGGGCCGGGTCCAGGTTAGACTTATTTTGTGTCAAGTATTATTTATTTCATATAACTAACACTTGACAGAGGCACGTGACGAGTCCATATCCATCACCAATATTGGACCTGCCCATCAACCGAGTAAAGAGCCCAACCGACTCTGTTAAGACGGTTTGAACAACACGAAACCTAATAGGACTCGGTTATCTTCTAGGTAACTTCATGCCGATAAATAGGGTTGGTTATACCACAATTGACGTACGCTATTTCTAGCACTAATTCTCATACACACGTTCTCTCGTAACCCTATTTCTGACTTAACCATCAGAGTGTCTACCCTCGGGAGACCCCCCGAGGCTCTGTTTTGCAGGAAACCCTACCCGGCATTCCACTGTTAAACCGGCGATATAATTCCAAACTTCGTCAAGACCACAAAACAACACAACAACAACCACCACCAACTATCACAATAACCCCGCTCTGATACCACTTGTTGGGTATCAGTGCTACTGATACACGCCCAGGATCAATCAAATGTAACACAAATAATAATTAAGCGAGAAGCAAATAAAATACTTCACAAATAAACATGCCAAAGCACCAACATAATATATTCAACAAGGAAGCAAACACAAATTATACAATGAAGGCTTAAGGAGGAGAAAACTTGCCTTAATACAAATGAGCATCATACTACCCTATTTATACTAATCTAGGTCGGTTAGTATTAATTAATTTATTAACTAAAAAATACTTCTTATGTCGGTGATACAAGTTCTAAAGCTTTCCAACTAATTCCGGAGAATGAAGTCGGTGGAAGTGATCAATTCAAAAACGTAATTTGTAACTTGAAGTTGAGGCTGTGGAGTTGATAAAATGAAACTTTCCACATTCTTCTTGACTCCAAGTTCGTTGAAGGATTGTTTTGTGGTTAAAGCATTGCTGCCCCATTCACTAGCTTTTTTTTTTTTTTCTTGTAGCTTCCAAGAAGAAAACTAATCGGTGGATTATTTTCGATACGGCTAAACTCGATTTCTTTCCCACTGGTCTGACACCGACTGCTCCCCAATTCTTTTTCATTTGGCAAAAGGAGAACATACAAGAGCTCGGTAAGATGCCTTGCGGATGCGAAATTCACTGTCAGCGATAAATTTCCATTAATATTCCCATTAATTTTACTTTCAGTAACTTGGTTTATCAATCCTCCTTGACGCTCATCACCATCTGATTTATCTCTTGAGTCAACCTTTCCATGACAAATCCCGGCAAGCTCATCGGGACGACGATTCCTCGATCTCCTTGTTTATTCGTTGCCGAAATGTGAAAAGTGCTCACTCCTGGAATTGGCTCCGCAGCTGGTCCAGCGTAAACCGGTTTTCCCCACCCGAAATCCACCTCGTCGAAACCAAGCCTTGTCAAGTCCGACACCATGTACGCTGATGCCAACGAGATGATCGGTACCTTCCCATGAGGCGACAATATGTCTGTTGCCGACTTGAAACGCTTCTCCTTTATCCTCGCGGTGGACTTCATCACCAGCTCCACCGCGTACTCAAATGGGTTTTTCATCAGCTCCCCTGCCTTTGTTTGCGCCCCTGAGATGGCAAAGGCGTTTCCGTAATATCCGAGTGGTAAGGGCGGATCTAATCGTGAACGCGCATTTACAGTGTAACAGACGCTAACATCTTCTTCGGGATCAGGTTGGAGGGCTAATATGCGACACCGCCAGTGGCAGGCAGTGAGGAGCACAAAGTTGGAGCATTTGCTTCGAAGGTGAGGCCGAAGGGAATCTCGGAGGGCAGCGATTTCGCTTTTGCCAAAGAAGAAGGATTTATGGACAAAATCTTCCTCAGGGGAAAGTTGAGTTCTTATTATGCTTTGTAAAACATCATTTTCGTGACGCACGGAAGAGGTTATTCTTGGAGGGTCTTGAGCTATGAGAAGCTCCCTCATCCACACCGGAGGGACTGAAGGGGCAGAGGATCCTCTGGCGATCTCCGCGAGGGCAATTTTGAAATGGGCGAGGCCAATGCCATCAGCCATGATATGGTTGAAGCGAATCGGAAATATAAATCCGCCACATTGGAGACGGGTCACCTGGAGAAAAAACTCATCATCATGAATCTAATGATTATTTTGCACTATATACGTTCGAAAAAAAATAGTTTACATTGAATTTTGATATTTGTACTAATTTTAGTACAAATTTGAAAACTCAATGAAAGGAGTATAATAGTAACTTTTTTTATGCTAAAAAATAAAAGTTGTTAGAAAATGAGAATCCATGTTAACAAAACTCCAACAAGTATTTTATTCTACCTGTATAAGAAGTAAAGGAGAATGGAGAATTGCATTGGAGCCTGGAACATTAAACACCAGCTCCTGCCAACCCGGAAATGGAGGATGGATCCCTTCCCCGAAGTCTTCCAACGTGAAATCGGCATCAGCCTCGACAAACAACACGCCTTCTCCCGTGCATTCCACCGCGAGCTTCTTCCCCTGCACTTCCTTCAGCCTCCCTGCAAAAGGGTAGTAGGGCTCTAAAGTCTTTGCCAGAGCCGCTTTGATCACCTTCACAGGGTCTTTGATCACCTTCACAGGGTCGTCGTCTCCTGATTTTCTCATGAATTCATTGTTATTGCGCCAGTTCCTTCCTTTATAAAAATGTAAATGGGAGATGTGTGAGCATAGACCTTGCTGGTCATCGACATCGGACAACGGGTTTGTTTCCCGCGGCGTTGCCCTCGCCGTAGGGACCAGCACCGGGCTCTGCCTCCTCACCGTGAAACTCCTAGACAACGTCGAAAACAATCTCATATTCCTGTGCAGCGTTCTTAATTCCATGCGAGAAAAGTTTTGTATATTCACATTGTGTAGAGTAGGCTATGTATATAAACTTAGTCGTCGGAATTCAGGGGCGGATATATAAACTTAATTCCCGCAAAAGCTTAGGCACACCCAGAGCAGGAAAAAAAAAAGGTTAAAATTGGTGTGTTTCTATGGAGTGCACATCAATAAGTAGTCACAAAAATTGCTGAAGATTCTTGAAAAGAAAAGATTGGGGTATTTTTTAACATTGAAAAGCATGTGGGATTGACACAAAAAACTGGACAGCGGCAGTGACACTGTGTGCTTCCTGGCGTAGAAAGGGAGAAGAAGAATTAGACGATTTTTTTTTTTTTTTTCCTTTTCTTGGCAGAAATTAGACGATTTTAATTTTAGAAGTAAAACTCCCAACCAATTCCTTAACTCATTGTGAGGTCGGATCTTCTGGTCCCTGAAACCATGGTCCATTGTGGTCCAGAAAAAAAAACGGCGCCATATTTGGATAACTTTGAATGAATCAGATTTGTGATTCTTATTGGCTTGGATTAAACTGACAGGGCTTTTTAAAAAAAAAAAACAAACCAAAAAAGAAAATTTATTAAAAGGGTAAAAATATTTTATTCTTTGCTCCTTATACTTCCGCCATTGGTGACATCTTTCCTCTATGTTTCGTATATGATTTTGGGATAATTTATGAAGAAGTGTGAAAATGGCGAAGATTTCGATTCACCAAAATGGAGAAGAGAACGATTATAAATGCAATCTTTATGATTAAATAGATATGATTTGGAGCAGATTGCTAATTGTTACCGTCCGTAGTAGCCTTGCCACAACTGAGACGCGGCCGCCAATGATTCCACTGATCCGTCGAGGAAACTGATATGATCAGTTTAATCAGGATTCATTTGACAACATGAAGGAGAGTGAAGTTTATAGTCACGATCGAATTCTAGGTTCCTTATATTCTAATTGTTACGTTAGTTCTTCCTGTTAATATATGTATATATTAGGGTTAGTGTAGGGGTATTGTTGTAATCCTACTGTAATGTTAAATCAACACAGAATGACCAATGGGTTTTCACACATCTTCACTTCCCATGGCTGGTTCATTACTCCTGATCAATGTTGGCATATATCTGTGATAGTGAAGAGTTCAATTGGTTGAAATTTTGAGTTCGAAAACAACCGTTTCATGTATATTTTCATTCATCATTTGGGAAATCAGCGTTACAATTGTTCTAGTTCAACTCATAAAGATATTGGCATGTTTCTCTTAAATGATGACAAATGCTAAGAAGTCCATGAATTCAAAGGTAGCCAAAATGATATCATTGGTTTTTGCTCTGGATAACTCCAACCTTAGCTTGATTCAGGTTGGAAAGCTAATGTTACAGAAGAAACTAGAAAGAGACTAATTCTTCAATGTCTCTATGGTTTACTGTTCGACACCACCTTCTTTAGCTCTTCACTCAACCTTTCCATAACAAATCCCGGCAAGCTCATTGGGACGACGATTCCTTTTTCTCCATGTTTATTGTTTGCCGAGATGTGAAAAGTACTAATTCCAGGAATTGGCTCCGCAGCTGGTCCAGCGTAAACAGGTTTTCCCCAACCGAAATCCACTTCATCGAAACCAAGTCTCGTCAAATCGGACACCATGTACGCTGATTCCAGCGAGATTTTCGGGAGTTTCCCGAGAGGTGACAATTTGTCTGTTGCCGACTCGAAACGCTTCTCCTTTATCCTCACGGTGGACTTCATCACCAGCTCTGCAGCGTAATAATACGGGTTTTTCATCAGCTCCCCTGCCGTTGTTTGCTCCCCTGAAATGGCCAATGCATTTCCGTAATATCCAATTGGCAAGGGAGGATGGAATCGGGAACGGGCATTTACAGTGTAGTAGACAGAAACTTCTTCGTCTGGATCAGGTTGGAGGGCGAATATGCGACAGCGCCAGAGGCAGGCGGTGAGGACCACAAAGTCAGAGCATTTGTTTCGAAGGTAAAGCGGAAGGGAAGCTCGGAGGGCACTGATCTCACTCTTGCCGAAGAAGAAGGATTTGCGGACAAAATCTTCCTCAGGAGGGAGCTGAGCTCTTATTATGCTAGGTAAAAAGTCAATTTCGTGACGCACGGAAGAAGTTATTCGTGGAGGGTCTTGAGCTATAAGAAGCTCCCTCATCCACACCGGAGATACTGAAGGGGCAGAGGATCCCCTGGCGATCTCGGCAAGGGCAATTTTGAATTGGGCGAGGCCAATTCCATCAGCCATAGCATGGTTAAAGCGAATCGCAAATATAAATCCGCCACATTGGAGACGGGTCACCTGGAAAGAACTCATCAATCATGAGCTCAATGATTCTTCTGTATGATAGTAACCTATTTTTTTTTTTTACAAAACAACAAAAAGAGATTTATTATTTGATAACGATTTCCAATAAATTCTAGTACCTGTATAAGAAGCAGAGGAGAATGTAGAATTGCATTGGAGCCTGGAACATTAAACACCAGCTCCTCCAATCCCGGAAATGGAGGATGGAGCTCTTCCCCTAAGTCTTCCAACATGAAATCGGCATCAACCTCGATAAATAACGCGCCTTCTCCGGTGCATTCCACCGCGAGCTTCTTCCCTTGCACTTCCTTCAGCCGCCCTGCAAACGGGTAGTAAGAGACTAAAGTCTTCGCCAGAGCCGCTTGGATCACCTTCGCAGGGTCATCGTCTCTTGATTTTCTCGTCAATTCGTCCCGGCCTTTGGTTCCTTTATAAAAATGTAAGTGGGAGATGTGAGTGCATAGACCTTGCTGGTCATCGACATCAGACAATTGCTTAGTTTCCCGAGGTGTTGGAATCGCCGGAAGGACCAGCGCCGGCCTCTGCCTCCTCACCGTTAAACTCCTTGACAATGTCGAAAACAATCTCATATTCATGTGTAATGTTCTTAATGCAATGGGAGATTGAGTTGGAGGAAATGATTATAGTGCAACAGAAGAAGAAGACAGATATTGGTCTTTGTGTATTTAGAGGCAATGGAAAATTGGCTCCTTCCTAATTTACATAGTCAATCATATCGTTGATTGTCAATTATATCAATAATCATGATCTAATCAAATCACAATCAAATATTCTAATCGAACTACATTGATGACCAGATCATTGTAATCGTATTACAATGATTTCCAAATAACAACCTCATTTAACAGACTATATAATATTTATTTTATAAGAAAGGAAGTACACAGACCTCGTCAATTTTTCTTCGCACATAATGTCAGCAGACTATCGGTTTGTTCACCTCATCAACTGACTAAACGAAGTTTAATTTCATTTCAGTGTGGCTTCTACAAATCCATTGCTTATAAATCTAATTTCCTAAAGCTAAAATGTCGACACACTAATTAGAATTAGGCGGCTGTTTGGGAAAAACTTTCGGTTGCTGATTAGATATTTAATCCCTATTTCAGCTCCTTTGATAAGTTATAATCGGGTATGCTTGTGGTATCATCTTGATTTCCTTTCAAAAAAAAAAAAAAAAAACTTTATATATCTAAGTTCAAGTTTTTTTAAGAACTTTTCGCTAATAAAAAAAAAAACCTAACACTAAAAAAAACAAGCCATGGTTGTGGGTAATTTACCTTAGAGGTCGTGGGTACATCAGTTTACCCACGATACTCCCACGGCAAGCTGACCGTGGGAGAAACCCGTGGGTAAAAAAAAACCCCTACGGAAGTTAAAGTTTCGTGGGCAATTCACCCACGACAATCGTCGCGGCAATATTAGAGGGAGAATTATGATTTAAATTTCACAGTTTATGAGAAAACACCCACGGGTGAATTCGTGAGTAAAATAATAATTTTTTTACTTTAATTTGTAATATTATCCACAGAGGTCATGGGAAAAATGAAATAAAATTTTTAAATGATACTCCCTCCATCCCATAATTATTGTCCACTTTACCCAAAACATTTTGTCCCAAAATTATTGTCCAATTTGACTTTTTATGGATCAAGTTACACATTTGTCCTTAGTAAAAAATATTATCCACAAAATCTTTATGGTTAAACAATTACTTATGTAGGGGTATATCCGGTTATTCAAGGTAAAATATAGTTAAGTTTGACTAAAAATAAATTCTTTCATTTTAGTAAAACTGAACAATAATTATGGGACGGAAGGAGTATCTCCGTGAGTAAATTTCTAAATTGGCAAAAATAATTACCCACGACTTAAGTCGTGGCTAATTTGTTAAATCTGAAGTGCAGCTATAATTGTTTATACTTTAGCCCCTAGTTTTTTGTATGATACCAAATCGAATCCAATATAATTATTTATTTTTGATTGCCAATCATATGAATAATATAATCAAATGACAATCCAAATCCTACTACATTCAATCATTTAAACTTGTAAAACTCATGGAAAACCAAATAGAAGACGCCACGAATGAGATTCGGGAAAAAAAAACCAGTAATAAATCCTTGATCCTATAAATAACTATGTTATTGTGAAAGATGTCTTTCATGATTGGGACGTAGTTAATTGCTCTCCTATAACGCGAAGTTGCATGATTTTCGGCTTTCAGAATATTTAGCATTGTTTAGCCCAAAGGTCACATATCCAATATGTAGTAATCTAGGGTTTTCAGTATGTCTAAATCTGATTCGATTGAAGGACTGAAAGAGCCCATAGATTGGAACAATCTTCCTGACGAACTTCTGGACATGATTCTGAATAAACTATCCGATCTCAATGATTACATAAGATTTGGAGCAGTTTGCAAATCGTTCGGTTCTGATGTTCAGAATCAAAAACCACAACGAATTGCAAGAACTCGTACACAACCGCCAATGCTTCTAGTGATGTATCGAGGAAAACATTGTGATCAATATCTGATTTCCTTGTACAATCTCGAGGAGAGTAAAGTTCTCGGCCGTTAATTATTGCAGATTCCTTCTTATCCGAATTATTCCTTAGTTCTTCCCACGGTTGGTTAATCATTCGTGATCGTTCGACATCTATCCAATTTTATAATCTATTCACAAGGAAGGTCCCTTACAATGTATCATACGTTTTCGAAAAAGTAATTTTGTCTTGTGATCCAACACTATGTCCAAACAGTTATGTCATCGGTGCAATTGAAGGAAATGGTTTAGCATTGAAGAAACAAGACAAAAAATCTTGGACATTATTTCGTAACGATGACGGAGGATACCTCACTGGTATAGATATAAAATCTTCTACAATGAATTGTTTTATGCATTGGAACATAGCAATAGGCTTGTTGTACTTGACTAGAGGCCAGTTAGTTCCCATAGTTTGGATTTCATGTGGGTGCATGAATAGTTTCCACACTACTATTAGTATGCCTTACTTGGTTGAAGCTTCCAACGCAGACCAACTTAGCGCTAAGGGTTCATAGTAAAAGTATTTTGTGGTATGAAAGTCTAGAGAAATTCAGGATTTTTGAACTGACCAATGCGAAAACGAGGGGAATATATGATAGTGATGAAGAGTCCTTCGATTGGGTTGAAATTTTTGAGTTGGAAAACAACGATTCCATATTCGTGGCCGACAATCATTTTCGTAGCATTTCAGCTTCATGTGTTCGCATTTGCAACAATCAGCGCATAAATTTCGTTCACAATTTTGAAGATCAGCGTTACGATGGTGGTAGTAGTTCAAGTTATAAAGATATTGGTTTTGATCTAGATAGCTCCGACTTTAGTTTGATTCAAGTTGGAAGACTTATATTATAGGAGAAAAAGATTTAAATTGTACAATCTTCTTCACGTATATTTTCTTAGCATTTATAATATTCTTTGTGCTTTTCTAGATTTAATTAGATTTCAACAGATATCTATAATGAAGTCACAAGCTATGCATATGAGATTTTTGGAGCTAATCCTTTCGAATCACAACCACTGACAATGACGCCGCGAAAATAATAGCATGACTCAATCACTAAAATAGAACAAGAATATCGTTTTTTATCCTAAATTATAGAACGAAATTGAGGAAAAAAAAATCCCGGCAAAAATCCAGTGAGATTGTGAAGTTGAACTTCAAATGAACTAAAAAAAATAATAATAATAAGAAACATTATTATTCTTTGTTATGAGGTTACGTTCTGAAGAGTATACTTAACAGCTTATTCTTCAATATTTGCATATTTTACTTCTATTCTGAATGTCTCTATCGATCAATACTAATTTTGTAATCGTATTTTATAAATCCTTCTACCTCGTTGAAACCAAAACTCGTCAAGTCCGACACTGTGTACACTGAAGCCAATGTGATACTATTTCGTAGATTCTCGAGAGCTAATGAACAATGTCTCTGTAGCCGACTTGAAATGCTTCTCCATCATCTTGCCTTGCAATTCATCATCAGCTCCACCGTATTTGAGCGGCCTTTTCATCAGCGTCCCCAACTGTTGTCCGCGCCCCTGAGATGGATAAGGCGTTTTCGTAATATCGGTCATGGTATGGTTAAAGCGGATCGCAAAGATAAATCCACCACATTTGAGACGTGTTAGTTGCATACCAACCAGCTACTTGTTGTTTAATTAGCTAGATACCGAGAAGTGTGCACCAGTTTCTCACATGGAAAACTAGCATGCATGATGTTTAGTTTGCCAATGATTATGAACTTAGTATTTTTCACATAATTTATTTCCATACTTGAGGATTTTTAATTATTAGTGGCTCGATAAGATGTTGTAAATCACCCAGATTTGAGGAAGCAACATCTGCCAACTCCACGGAAAAAACTAATGTTTAGGCTTTTTGGGCCACATCTATTGTTCTCTTTTCTGTACAAACTGACGTGGTGCTGGCATTGTACTGAAGATTTACTCCAACGCCATATACATTATAGCATCCGACAGTTAACAAATTATATTAGACATTGATTCGCTACAAAATTTCTATTCTTTGAGCACTTGTTCCAAACTAGCCGTCGAACCTCTTTTTAAAACATCACAGATATCCCTAAACTGAACCGGCATAGATTACAAAATTCTCCTAATCACCTTGCCATTGCCAAATCGCAGTGCTTATCTGCCATTGCAATGCACCAAGCTTCCCAAGCCAAATTGAAACAAAAATCAAAATTAAAAAAATCAAAGCCTCTAAAATAAAAATTAGTAAAAAAAAAGAAAAAGAAAAGAAGAAGAAAGTCTGAAGGTTGGTTTCTTAATTAACCTCTAACCAAAAGTCAAACTATTTTTGGAACTGTCAATACATAAAAGTTTTAATCCTAATTTTGCAAGATCTGTTTTACAAAGATTACTTTCACATAAAATCATACTAAATGATAATCCCTTGAGTCCTTATTATAAAGCATTTTGATTTCTGCTAAGTTTCATTTATCCTATTTTTTCAATTGAAATAAAATCTTAAAAATGCATTTTAACATTTATTGTACTCTCCTAATTATTATAAAAGATTTTTAAGGTTTCATTTTTAATTGAGAAAACAATATAAATAAAACTTACTAGAAATCAAAATGCCTTATAATAAGGACCGGAGGAAGTATATGTGATTGGCATGGGAATTTTAACTTTTAAAAGTCATAGTCACAGCGTCCCAAAATTATCGTCCAGTTTAGATTTTCGTCTTTAGTACATATTGAACTGAAATAAAAGTGAAAATATAAACTTGAGAATACATTTGAGACAGAGAGAATTTGTTTGTAAGTCGATCTAGCTTGATTTTTGGACTTTGGACCGGTCAAAAACGTTTCTTGGGCTGAATCCCACTCGATAACACGATTTCTAGGGGTCCTTAGGGTTAAAACACATGCCCAATTTCTTGTAATTTCTCTCCTATAACTTTTTCCTGCTCGTATGAGATAGTCTGATCAAGGGTTTCAGGATGGCCACTAGTGTTTCGACGATGGAAGATCCGCAAGTGTCCGTGGGTTGGACAAATCTTCCTGAAGAACTTCTTAATCTGATTCTGAATAAATTAACCGATCTTGACGATTACATACGATTTGGAGCAGTTTCCAAAATTTTCCAGTCCGTAGCCTGGAATCAAAAACCGCAACGAATTGCAAGAACTCATATACAACCACCAATGCTTTCTGTGATCCAATTTGGAAAACATTGTGATAAGTTCAATCTGATTTTGTTATACAATATCAAGCACAGTAAATTTTCCAGGCATAAGTTTCAGGTTCCTTCTGTTATTTTTGATTATAACGTAAGTTCTTCCCTTGGCTGGCTGATCAATGGTCATTGGGCGTCAATCCAACTTTCTAATCCGTTTACCGGAAGGATCATCGAAGTCCCTTGCAAGAAATCAGATTGTTCTACAAAATAATTTTGTCTCGTGATCCTGCACGTAGTCCAAAGGATTATGTCATAAGCGCAATGGGAATATCTACTTTAGCCTTGAAAAAAGCATGCCAAAAATCTTGGACATTCTTTTATAAAAGAAAGAGATTCTTGTTATACGTATCGTGACATTATCTTCTGGAATGGATTGTTTTATGCCTTTGAATGGGATAGAAGGCTTGTTGCATTCGACTACAGTGGAGATGTATTAGTTCCCGAAGGCTTGTTGCATGTGAGTGCATGAATAGTTTTCCCAATTGTATGCCTTATTTGGTCGAAACTTCTAATGGAGACCTACTCCTAGTACTGAGAGTTCATAGAGCAAACAGGAATTCATTCTATGATAGTTTAGAGAAATTTTGTATTTTCAAACTGATCAAGAGAAGATTAATGCTGAAGAGTTCAATTGGGTTGAAATTTTTGAGTTGGAAAACAACGATTCCATATTCTTGGCCGATCATGATGATCTTTGCTATGGCAGCTCAGCTTCTTGTGCTCCCAATTTCAACCATCAGAGTTGCATATATTTCAGTAATAATTTTGATCCGCGTTACAATGGTAGAAGTAGTATTCCAACTTATAAAGATATTGGTGTGTTTCACTTGAATGACGGGACGGTTACAAAACTCCATGATTTCAGACACCAGGAAGATGATCCATTGCTTTTGATCTGGGTGACTCCAGCGTTAGTTTGATTCAAGTAAGGTTTATGTTGTGGGAGAAAGTTGCTTAGTTATGGGTACGTTATTTTCCATTGTTAATCAGAATTTTTTCTTGTTCGAGTACTATTTACATCCTTTGTACTTTTCAAATCTTTAAATATAGATTACTAGCTATTAATTAGCGAGTTTCTTTATACGCATTATATATTAAAAGACAAATTTTCTAAACGAGCATACTCCTTAGCACCTGATGTTCACACTTATTCTGTACATCTAGATGGTTCTTGTATGAATCAAATGTTGGTTTAGTTTTTTTTATACAACGGAAAAGGATAAACACCTTAAAGATTTAGGTTATAACATTCCCTGGGTAGTAAACACCTATAACTATGTGTTCCAAGTAATCCAAACAACATATCATACAGCTTAGCGCATGGTCTAATCGGTCGTGTTTGCTTATTCTTCAACAAAGTTATTGTCTTTACGTTGGGTCTTCAAAATTACTCTATATATGTCCAAACTTTCCGTCAACTAATCTTTTGAAGCATTCCATGTTTGTTATCTGGGCTTAACATATAATCATTCATAAAGTCAAATGTGATATTCGTTAGGTTTTGCTACTATGTTGATCGGGGATACCAAGAAAGCCATAAATGATCTATACAATCAACACCGTATATTGGATTGGTTAGTTTTGGAGGTATTTGAAAATTATAATGCAAGTTTCATCCTAATTTAATTTTGAACATTGGCCATAACCCCAGGGCATATCTTACCTGCAACGACAAAGCAAGAGAGAAAGTACTTCCCCAGCTCTACCCGAAATAAAGAGTTAATATTTGGATTAGGAAAAAACCAGATTATTAAACTCTTGTTCCTTTTTACTTTCAGTTCATGAACCCACAAATTTATTTATTTATTTATTTTTTATACTACACCTTTTACTATTTGATGAAACCACACAGTCATGAGTAATCTAATAAAACTTGATTTTCTTTTAAAAAAAATATAAGGTGCCCAAGTTCGAACTCAGAAACCATAAATAGAGAATATATATATAATATCACTAGGTTACTTTCTTCTTCCATAAAACTTGAATTTATAATAAGAAAAAATTGACCAAAAAAAAAACTTGAATTATATAATGAAGAAAAACTTTCAAAAAAACTTGAATTATTTAAATTAAGAAAAATTATTTTTTATAATATAATGTAATAAAAGAATTTATACAACATAAAATTGTCATGAGAAAACAATGAGTTGAAAGAAAAAAAATATATAATCGGGAATCAGATCAAAACCCACCCTTCTGGTGGGTTTAGAGGATTCCTAAATAATAAGAAATCAGTCTATTCCCGCCAATTTTGAAACCCGCCAACCAAACACTAATAATAGGAGTCATTCCATTCCTTCATTTCAATTCCCATCAACCAAACACCCCCTAAAAATAAAAATTCCAAATAGAAACACTACGTCCTAAACTTATGCAGTTATACTTAAAGAAAATGTGACTTTGAAAGTAAAGCCCAAGCCGAAGTTAGCAATTTTGTAAGAAAGAATCATGTCATGGAATGAAGGATCTGATTGGAATTTGTGAAAGAGTTGGGGCTCGTTTGTCAACGGACAGAAACTTGGTGGCATTTATTACGTTTTGGACAAGGCTAGAGTTAATTACAGAAATGGTATTATTTCCTATTTTGGGACTCATTTCTTTTACGTGATTCGGTTGTAACCGTTTTTAGACTTTTCTTGGATATGAGACTATATAAGTTTACACTACTATGCAGAGATGATTTCATGGAAAATTATACAGTTGATCTCCCTCTCTCCAATTCTTTCTCTTCTCTCAACTCTGCAAATGAATTCCCTAGCTTACTACGCGACAATTTGGTAGTCAGAGCCAGCGGTTCTCAACGTGTCATGGCGGTAACTACGAGGTCTCAGGCGAGTCTCAACGCGGATCTCCGGTGATCAGATTCGGTAGTGTTGATTCAACCGTATGAAAACCTGGATTTACGGACGCAAATTGAGGAGCAGCGAATGGTGGTTTTGTGTCATTCAATGAAATTGAAGGAGATTAGTACTCAAATGGAGGACCAGAGAGCGGTGGCTGCTACTCATACTGCTCAATTGAATGAAATCGGAGCTCAGTTGAAGTCTTTGGCAGCGGAGATTAACCAAAGCAATCACATCGAAATGGAAGCTTCTCGAGACAAGCTCCCTATCCATTTTGGTCAATTGCCTCCTGATAAGGCTCCGATTTTGACTTCACCAGCTAGACCATCTAGGGTGTTATCGGACGGCGACCATGGCCACCGACCGGCATGGTACACTCAACCTACGGTGGAACTACCGATGTATGGGGGTGGAGAACCACACGAGTGGTTGAGGAAGTGTGATAAAATTTTGGCGATTAACCAGATTGCTGAGCACTCTAAACTGGAAACAATTCAGTTTTATTTGGAAGGAATGGCGGAGATTTCGTTTCAGGCACTCAAATTCACTAAACCTAGTTTGTCTTGGCCAGAATTTTGTGTTTCCTTGGTCCGGCGATTTGGAGGTCGGAGTGGAGCTACTGACATCGAAGAATTCAACAAATTGGTGCATATTGGATCTGTAATAGAGTATCAAGAAGTTTTGAGGAGCTTCATTCACAAATTTTGTGCAAAAATCATCTATTCACTGAAGATTACTTCGTATCCAGTTTCACTAGTGGACTCAAACCAGAGCTGAAGCCGGCGGTAAGAATGCGTAACCCAATTGATTTAGCTACTGTGTATGAGGTTGCTTATTTGTAGGAGCTCAACTTGGAGATTAACAATCCCAAGCCAAAGTATGGTCAGACTTCAAACCTCTGATCAGGGAATGCCTATGCCAAGAGTGGTGAAACTGTTTCAAGGGAGAAGAAGTTCAATCCAACCCTGGTGAAGCAACTTAGTCCTCAGGAATATCAGTACCGGAGGAACAACCATCTGTGTCACAAGTGTGATGAAAGGTATAGTGCTAACCATGCTTGTAAATTTAGACAGTTTAATATCTTGTTGGTTGAGGATGGTTGTGAGGTGGTTGATGATTCTGTTCCAAAACTTATTATAGATGAAGGCATTGATTTGCATGATGTGACTATTACTGAGGGAGCTATGCATGTTCTTACTATAAATACTGTTAAGTAGACAATATTGATCATTGTCAAGATTAATGGCAGACTAATTAAGATCTTGATTGATACGGGTAGTACAGAAAGTTTTGTGGATCTTAAATTAGTCATGGAGATGAATCTTCATTATCAGGAATGTGAACTTTATACTATTACTGTGGGAAATGGGAGTAAGGTTTCAGGAAGTATGGTTTGTCCCAACTTGAGATGGAACATTCAGGAATTCAAATTTTGTTATGATCTAAAAATCATGAGGCTGAGAGCTTATGACCTAATCTTGGGGGTTGATTGGATGACTCACTTCAGCCCTATAACCTTTGATTTCCATGATTTGAGTGTCAAGTTGAGTAAATATGGTAGACAATATGTGTTGTTTGGCAGTGAAAATGAAACTAGCATGAAACTGGTAAAGGATAAGGACTGTCAGGAGTTTACATCTGATCAGAGAAGGAGGTTATTTATTATGCAAATACAGGAGTTACAAGGTTATCAGAATAGTACCATCTCTACACAGGGGAAAGACGTTATTCCAAATGAGGTTCAGGAGGTGTTGAAGAGGTTCACTGCTGTATTTAGTGAGCCAACTGGTTTACCTCCCCAGAGAGAAGTGGATCATCAGAATTCTTTGAAGATAGATGCAAGACCTTTCAAAATTCCACCCTATAGATGACCTCATGCTTTCAAGGAAGAGATAAAAAACAAGTAAGTGAGATGCTTGAACAAGGTATTGCTAGACACAACAAAAGCCATTATGTTTCTCCAGTTATTTTAACCAGGAAGAAAGACGGGATTTGGAGGTTATGTGTAGATTTTCAGAGGCTCAATGAGTTGACTATCAAAGATAAGTTCCCTATTCCTATAATTGATGAGTTGTTAGATGAACTTGGGGAAGCCAAGTGGTTCTCAAAATTTGATCTCAGGTCAGGATACCACCAAATAAGAGTGAAGGAAGAGGATATTCACAAAATGGCCTTTCAAACTCACCATGGCCACTTTGAATACTTGGTAATGCCGTTTGGACTTACCAATGCCCCTGTCACCTTCCAATCTTTGATGAATCAAGTCTTTCAAGCACAAATCAGAAAAATATTTTTGGTATCCTTTGATGATATACTGGTTTTCAGTAACAGTTTTGAGGATCAAATGAAGCATTTGCAGGAGCTATTGGAGCTGTTACAGAAGCACCAGCTGTTTGCTAAGTAGAGTAAGTGTAGTTTTGCACAGCAAGAGGTCAACTATTTTGGCCATACTATCAGCCATTTAGGTGTAAGCATGGACATGGAAAAGGTGGATTGTATTATCAAGTGGCATGTGCCTACTTCTGTCAAAGCTCTGAGAGGATTTCTTGGTCTCACTACAGGAAAAATGGCTTTTGGCGACACACAATGTATGCCGCGAAAAGTAGCAAAAGTGCCGCGAATAACATATTGCGACAGAAATTACGGCATATCACAAAGTGACGCGATAAGTGCGGTCGCAAATATTTGCGACACTTAAAAACAAGTGTGTCACGACATATGCGACACTTATGCGTCAATATAAACACGTCGCATTAAATTCGCGACACATCTTGTGTCGTTTTTTATTCCATGTCGCGATATGATTGCGACATTTTGTTTGCGTCGATTGAGTACTGACACTTATTGATGCGACATATTTAGCGTCACCTTTTGAATGTGCATCAAAGTTCCGCGACGCAAATTTGAAAAAGTCACATAATTTTAGTGACACAACTCTTTAAATGTTGCATGTTTACTGCGGCAAAATATTTATGTTAGTAACTAAAGTGCCACAGAAAATAATTTGCGACACAAGTTTTGATGTCATAATTAGATGTCATGCGGCACAAAAAATATGTCGCATTTTTTGAGGCATTATTTGGGGTATTGTTTTGCATATCTTTTATTATTTTATGCTGATATATAATGTATTGTACAACTATTTTTTGAATTGCATTACAGCCCTTATTTTGGAATAGCATTTATTTTTTACAACATTTAAAGTGTTTGTGGAACCCAATAAAAATAAGCATAATATTATTGTCGAATCAATTTTTAAGAGCAAAATAGAAATTCGCTAAAAGAAAAAAAGATTAGCATCCCATACAAACTTAAATGGAAAGCAACTAAGTCCATAAAAATTAAAATCCCACAAAAAGTACATATCGTCATTACAAAATGTTCTTTCAATTCAAACATAGAAAACTAGCAGATTTTTGAAAGCTTCATCATCATGTAACCTTTTGAATTTCCTGCAAAAACAAACAAAAAAATGAGAGAAAAACAAACTAATTTGTATTTATCACAAAATCGCATGCTTGTTTTTGTTTTTGTTCGGCAAGAAATTAATAGTAGTTACCTTATCATGTAGCTAGGCGCTTGGAGACCCTTCTAGCTTTCTTACGTTCCTATTAAATTTCAAAAATATGAGCTCATTTAGACACATATAATGATGAAAAACTTGAAAAACAAAAATTGTTTCCGAAAAGCTAAAAATGTATGTTACCTTAGTGGAAGTAGCATCTGAACAAATCAATGGAGGATTATCATCTTTAGATTGATTTATCTCTTTGCTCACCTAATCAAAAGATAAAAAAAAATGTAATGAAGAATAAAATAATTTATAATTGATTTATAATTGAATGTAATACAACTTTTCATTAACGTACCTTAGTAGATTGATTTGTTTGGCCATTATTTGATGAGTTTCCTAATCCATGCAAAGGTTCATTCAAAGCAATTTGGTGCTGGGAATTAGAAGACTCTTGTACCTAAGACATTTTTATGTCGCAAAGGTAAATACAATATAATTTTTCTTGTAATAATTTTTGTAAAGTGAACTCAAACCTGGGGTATTTGGACTGCCAAAGCTAGAAGATTGATCCTGCATCATTGTTTTCATTTCGGCAAGCCAATCATCTTTCATTTTGGATAATCTTTCATCCATCTCATTCTGCAATTTAATCTCCAAATTGTGTTGAATGCTTGCAACTCTCTCATCAACTGCTCGATCAAATTCTTGTTGAGAGGTGAACACTTTCTTACTTTTTGAAACAATCTTACAGCTGCGTAGGCATCCTGGAGCATCTTTTCTAATGACGTCTTCAAAAATTTTATTATTAGCCTCAATATCATCTTGCAACTCAGGTGGCAATTGTTGCTTCAACGCCTTTAAGGTGGCCTGATATTTCATAAAGATATAAAACAAAATTATGTAAGAAACGGTAATAATTATGAAAAAGATTGAGAATAATGAATAAGTATGGAGCATTTCATTGGTTAATCACTTCTACTTCAGATACTTACTATTTTTTGAGAAGTAAACTCGTCCAATGGTTGTCCTTTTTTTCCTTCTCTTGATTGGATGAATACGTCTATCGTGGATGGTTTTTTCCCATTATTTTGACAAATCTAACAATGAATTCAGATTAAAAGCAAGTTAAGAAAGTATCATAACCAAAAATTAACTTTAATAATAGAAGTATGGAAAGATCATACCTGATTTTGAAGATTATAGGTATCCGTTCTCCCTGTCTATGTGGCATTTGCAAGTCTTTCCGGTTCCTTTTATTTCTATTGCTAATTTTCTACAATTCAATAAAACAAGAGGATGAAGTTTATGTATATAGTTCCCAGATTCAATATAAATCTACATATATATAAAAACATGAAAAATTCAGTACGTCATACTAACCCTTGCTCTCTTGGAAAGCCAATAGTTAACCAATGCAGGCCATTGATCCTCTTCAATTCTTCTGGACGATTAGCTAGTAAGTAGGTTTTGTCTCGCTGTGTGGGCGAAAGTACTTTTCTTTTGTTCTCATTTTAAAATCCTTCCAAAGCTTGCCAACCCTCCGCAAACATGTCTTCTTATAAACATCGGTAAGATTTGTGTTCTCCTAGAATGACAACATTACATTTACCATAAAATTGTAATTAAATATAGTGGAAGATATATACATCAAAGTTATATATTGATCTCAAGTCATATATAGATAAACAAATGCTTGAAAATGGCCACATTACTTAAGAATTTAAAACAAAGTAACTTAAATCCGACATAATACCTTCACTTCAGCCCACACATCATCTTTCATTGGCTTAGGCAATGCACGCCAATCTGTGTAAATGAGGGGTAACTTGTTTCCTTCTTTAGCTAAAACCCCCAATTGAGTCGCAAATTCAGCAGCCATGCTTCCAACCACTTGGTTATCATCATTAAGTTCCAATATCATTTTCTCACCGGTTCCCCATCGAAATCCCTGCCTTGTTGGACCTCTTCCAATTGTATCTATCAATCATATAAAATACATCTAAGAAAACATATATATAGGTGTATAAAATATTAACTATTTTTAATATACAACGAACATAACGTTTTGGGAGAGATAGTATTTTTCAAATTTATTTAGAAACACATACCTTCTTCTAGTGGATCATTGTTGTTAGCATTTTGCTCATCATCACTATCATCTTCAAATGATTCAGAGGTGTGCAAAGATTCGAATCAGTAGATGAAGAAGAATTGAGAGAGTTAGAACAATTGGAGTTATTTTCTTGGTTATGAGATCTACTTGTTGCTGGCTCATTTAATAGATCAAGCATTGATCCAATTGTACATTGAGATTTCTTTCTGGATGACACCATTTTGACTGCAAATAATAGAACGGATATTTTAAATCATACACCAAAATAAGCAAATATTTATCAACTATAAAAAAAAATTACCACAAAACATAATTGTACTATATTGGTTTCCCAATGATGTAAAATGCCTAACTCATTGAGCAACTTGCATCCACGTGGGTAGCAGACTCTATACATTCTCATGAGTAAAAGAACCCAGCAGGCAAAATCCAGGTAGAGATGGCTAAAGTTTAAAACAACAATAGCTAAAGTTTCACTTGTATTGTGAATTTCGTATGTCAACACCTTGTGACGATTTATGCTTGCTAGTAAAAAAAAAAAATCAATTTTCAATAACAAGGAAGCAACTAGGACATATGATAATATCCAAAAGTCACAAACCACAATGATTATACAACCCTAAAACAAGTATTGAAAAAGAACATGAAAATTCGGATCTCTACATATATAAATCAATACGATTACCTTACACGAACAGAAAAATTTTTCCCCAAATAGATCGGAGCACTCTTTCCCGGAGTCAGAAAACTTAGAATGGCATGGATACACTTGTAGAAATAATTCCCTGGAACAATCAAATGAAGAAAGGATCTTTGTACTTTAAAATATATAGATGAGAAGTATAAAGTAGAAAATCCCCCGTGATAATTTTCTTGTATTCCCGCTTATTGATTTGTCTTGTTAATTTCCTTCATTACACTAATATCGATCTTTCTTAAAGCTGGTGGGTGAGTTTTTTAACCAGTGAAATTAATATTGAATGCTTTGTAGGCGCCTTGTCTCTTTGATATGAGTGCTTATAATGAATTGGAAGTTCAAGCAAAGTAATAGTTGTCTTGTAATTCGAAGGAAATATTAATAGATTTAGTGGGAAAGCTAAGCGGGAATGTAGACAAAAAAGAATTGAATTAAAATCCTTTGACTTGTTAATTACTTGGCTACAATTATTGAGTCCCGCAGTTGCATACTACACTTTTCATATATTTCTTTATTGAATGAAAAATCACTCTACATTTGTCAAAACTTAACTAATTTCAAGGGCGGTCCAACTTGTTTTTATGACAATTTGAAATGTGGCGAACAAGTCCCTTATTTTAATTATTTGACAATAGTAACTAATTGATGATTATTAACAAAAGTAACTATCCACCGTCAAATATAATTTCAAATACATTGTTGACAATAGTAATTATCCATTGCTAGTAACTTGCATATCCTAACTATAAATTGTCTTTATTTTTAGTTTTTCTTTAATCATATAAAGATCGTCAAGATATCTTTGATGTACTAGACGCGTATTATCTGTCGGTAAATCTTGATCTAGTAGGCGTTAGTATTCGTCAATAGATCTCATTCTATTGATCGTTATTTAGTTCCTTTTTTGATTGTGTGTGATCTTTAGTTTATAGTTTTGTCCATGATTGTATTGTTGTGGTTCATAGTCATGGTTTATGTTTAAGAATATGAAATCAAAGTAGATCTATATTTTAGATATGCTTTTTGGAGCCTTCATCTGATGATAAATGAAGCATTTGAGATCGGATTTTTTCTTTGGTACGTGATGCTTCCAATAAATATTTGCGGATGCTATGGAAAAGTTAGTGATTTGATCGTCTGCAGTAAAGATGATCAGTTGATTCTTGGATATAGAATTTTACTTGATCGTAGTATGTTAGTGATTGTAATTCTCTATCAATCCTGGTTAGACGTTTTCCAACAAAGTTAATAGAAGTTTCTTTTATCTAAAAATTACTCCCTTGTCCCAAAAATTACTATCTCAAAATCGTTGTTAGTAATTATTATTATTATTTTCTTACTACCCCTGTCCCAAAATTACTATTCAGTTTGGATTTCACTTTTAATTCAATTTGTACTAAAACTGAAAATCCAAACTTAAAAATAATTTTTGAAAATCCAGACTATACAAAAGGAGTAATAAGTATTAATAATTCACAGTCTAAGAAATATTTGTACTTTGTAGTTATTATTTTAATTTTTTTTATTTGAAGTAATTATTAATTATGGTCTTATCGAAAGTCTAGGACTATCAAAATAAATTAGGTTCAAGTTGACGGATTGGGTTGATTTTTTTTTTTACCTTACGCGAAGCCTAAAAGGTTTAATTATATCTAAGTGAAGATCTTTATTCCTTACTTCACCTTTTCATTAATTAGATTATAGTAAATGTGTAATTTAACATTTATCTTGGTATGAAAAAATTAGAATCTGTTTGATTAAAAAAAAATTTACTCCAGTGAAACACCATAATCACTAAGTGTTGTTCAATTCCCTCCGTTTGAAATTTTAAAAGACAAGAAAATAAAAGTGTTTTTAAGTTTTATTCCCTTCATTTAAAAAAGGAAACATGACAAAAAGTAAAAAAATATATAAAAAGAGAGTAGTATTCATATCTCAAATATAGCCAAATTAATGAGGGATCATCACATCAAAATACAACACCCAAATTATTAGAGATAATGGCAAATCTTTCTTTCCCCGTCCTCGAGTATTTTTTAAAGCTATTTGGAAAAATGAAGAAAAGAAAGAGAACACACATAAAAGAAAGATTGATTGCAGGAGACATTATATAAAATGGGGATCATTATGGTTCACGGTTATTAAGAAATACAAAATAAGAAATAAAAAATAATACTGAAGGAAAGTAAATGCCCCAAATTATCATTTGTCCACTCACATATTCTCTTCCTCTTTTTCTTTTCTTTTTTTCCCCTTTTACTAACACCTACAAACTAAAAGATGCACTAAACACCACCCCAACATCAAAACTGGTTTTCTCCGAAACCCGCTCACCTCACCGAAGCTCAACCGATCCAAATTAAACCCGTCGACGCGCGACCACCGCCTCGTCACCTGCCCACCCGCCGGTTTCCATCTTTCATCTCACCATAATTGATGTTCTAACCCGTAATCCATTGTATTTGGTAAATAATTTGCTGGCTCGATGAATTGTTACGACGCAAAGAAGGTAATCCGATCCATTTCTTTTGCATGCTTGCCAATTTATCAAATCCACTTGATATAATTGTTTGAGGGGTGATTTTTACTTGAATGGAGTCTTTTGATTAGAAAAATTACATCATAATCATTTTCGAATTTACTTGAATGGGCACACCATTTGCTGCAATCTTTCAATTTTTATTCGGAAAATAGGAAGCAAAGGTATCATTTTTCTTACAGTACAGTAAAGCAACGCTGATATCTTAAACCACTTTCGGTTATGTAGCCCCTTCCTTCACATTTTGTGCATTTCAAGTACTTATTTCCCCTCATGTTTGGGGAGTCATGGCTATTAATTTTCTGCAGCTTAGATGAGGCACTACTTCGATATAAATTGAGTTTATTGATTGATTTTTTGTATTTTTCTGAACTAGAATGTGTGTTTAGTCTCTTTGATTTTTTAACCTTTTTATTTGCGCTTTTGGGTCTGAAGGCTATTTTGGTTTGCCCAAACTTTTATAATCTCAAAGCATTTAGTTGACATTGTAGTTGATTCATTCTAATTATTCTGAAGACTCTCTAAAGTATTATGTTTTTTATGCATATATACAGATTGATAAATCCTGGATTCATATAAAAGTAGCACGAGTGACTAATGAGGCTTTTAGACGGGGTGTAGAAGAATTTCTTGACTTTGCCTACAAAAACAAGCAAGCAAATTCGAAAATAAAGTGTCCATGCAGAAAGTGTCGGAACTCCAAAAGCCTGTCGAGGGATGATGTCCACTTGCACATTCGAGGTATGGTTTTTTGAAAGTTATTCTAATTGGGTTCATCATGGGGAAAAGAATAAGTACATCAGCAACATTTGGATACTGTTTTTGAAGAAAGAATAGAGAATGATGATCTGCAAGGTTTGATACATGAGGGACTCGGGACTTCATATTCCCATATTGGAGCTCATCAAAATTTCAATGGTGCTAGTCCAGATAGAGAAGCTGAACAGTTTGACAAACAATTTGATGAGGGTACAGAAAAGTTTTTAAACTATTAGAACATGCCGAGGCTGAGTTGTTTCCAGGTGTAAAAGTTTCACTCTTTTGTCTTTCATTGTTCGCTTGTTGCATGTGAAATCACTTTGCCGATGGAGTAACAATTCTTTCACAATGTTGTTAGAGATCCTAAAAGAGGCATTCCAAAGTGAGTTATTTCCAGGTTCTTACCACGAAGCTTGGAAACTTGTCAAGGATTTGGGTTTAGATTATAAAAAGATTCATGCTTGTCCTAATGATTGTATGCTTTATTGGAAAGAGGCAGAAAATGATGACAAATGCAAGCATTGTAAGACTTCTAGATATAAGCACTTCAATGGGCAAAATGAGGATTTATGTAAAAGTGAACAAAAGATTCCAGCAAAGGTTGTTCGCTACTTTCCTTTAATACCAAGGCTTCAAAGATTTTTTATGTCTTCAAAAACTGCTTCTTTGATGAGATGGCATGCAGAAGAACGCATTGATGATGGAAAACTTCGGCATCCAGCTGACTCTCGAGCATGGAAAAGTTTTGATGAAAAGAACCCAAGTTTTGCGGCTGATTGTCGCAATGTACGACTAGGACTTGCTGCTGATGGGTTCAACCCATTCAAATCAATGAGTATTGCTCATAGCACTTGGGCGGTTGTTCTGATTCCCTATAATCTTCCACCATGGCAATGTATGAAACAACCTTCATTCATATTATCCACACTCATTGATGGTCCTCGAGCTCCCGAAACGACATTGATGTGTATTTGCAGCCGCTCATTGATGAACTTCAAGAATTATGGAGTCCTGGGGTTCCAACATATGATGCAATAGAAAAATGCATGTTTCAGCTACGCGCAGCACCACTTTGGACAATAAATGACTTTCCAGCTTATGGAAACCTTTCGGTTGGAGTACAAAGGTGTGTATGCATGTCCTTGTTGCAATAAAAATTCACAGTCTCGTTGGTTGAAAAATGGGAACAAACATTGTTATATTGGTCATCGTCGTTTTCTTCCAA